ACGTTAATTATGCTATTCATGCCCTAACCATTTATCATCATCCTCTGTGTTGACAATTGGCGGATGCAGCGTTTTAGCCTATGTGTGGCAATTGTCTGAAAAACAAGCCTCACTCAGGCGACTTTCAAAAACGTTACGGGCTCACACGATGTAGCCGTTGAATTTTGATTGTCGACACACGCTCAAGACAGAAAACTCACGCATAGCTGTATTTTATCCATACTGCTACAACTGGGTTCCACGGAGGTTGCTTGGAGGAGTCCGATGGTGATTTGAAGGGGGTTTTTTTTAGTTTTCATCTAAAAGTATTATTTTTTCCGCAAAATTTCAACATTTCAAAGTACTGTTCTCCATATTCGAAAAACTTCTGACAGCACCTCCTCTGCGTATCAAAATTTTTTACCTGCAAAAGCGAATACGAGAGAGTACCATTCTGTTTCCGATCAATATCCACTACTTTTAGTGTGCCAATTGTAAGTGGATATGCTCCGTGGATGTTTTCACTGACATACAAAACCTGATGGTTGCCGCCGGGAAAGCGAGGTGCCTCTTCACTGATGTTTTCAACTTTAACCAAAACACTGCTGAAACGCAGAATTTGAGAAACAGCAAGGTTGTTAGTTCGAAGTTAATTAAGCTGTTTTTACCACCGTATTTTCCATCGCTGCCGACGTGAGATTATGTCAAAGGGAGGAACTCAATACAGAAAGCAGAGGTAGTGCCAGCTATGTCAGTGGCGAAAAGAAAGGTGGTGATGAAGAAAGAACAACTGATAAAAGTAGTAAAGTATCAACGAAAAGAAGGAAGAGACGATGCAAAACGAACAAACTGTGTAGGCGAAAAGAAAGTGCCACATCTTAGGAAGCGGCCGTCAAATTTCTTACCAGGGAAAACTGGAACTTTTTTGAGTTTTCTCCGCTAAAATGTTAGAGAAGAAAAGACCTTTTGTTCCATCTCTTGCTAGACTAACTAAAGATATTCACTTCCGCAAAAACTTCACTGGGTTAAAAGGATTTAGCTCAACTTATTTCCATACCCTGTTTTCGAGCAAAAACTAAAACACTGGCAAGTAGAGCAAACTTTTAATTTTACTATCCTTTTTTAAATGCTTGAACGAAACTTGGCAGTGTCGTCTCAATGCCCATTTTGAATAAAACATTCTGATGTTCACTACTTGGCAGGTTTTCCAGGATTTTTAATAAAAAAGCAAAAGCAATCGCTAGATACAGAGCTCATGACGCAAAAGTTATTTTCATTATAGTGCCATTTGCTGATTTTAGCGTATGAGTCCATTTCAGTAACACGATCGACACCGGATCTCTTCAGATGGTACTGGTTAATTATAAACAAAACCTGTTACTGTCGTGTCAAAACACGAAAAGTGATAGATAAAATTTGTTCTAGAATGTTTCATTTTGTTCTTTCGTGTGTATATAAAAAATATACAAAGAGGATCCCGAGGAGGAAGAAGGAGTACGAACTTCTGGGGTAGGAAAAGCAGTTATTCCAGAAAAAAGGGGGCGCCGGAAGGCGGCGGTTACTAGGAGAAGGCTACAACTTCAAGCAGCGGATTGAGCGAGGATAAGACCGTTTGCGAACGTTGGGAGCCGGCAGCTGCGAGATCCGTTGACAACTGCAATATTCCTTGGAGCTCTCTGACTTTGGTGTTCGTAGGTTTATCGCTGAATTACGTTTACGTTGTGTTTTTTGGTTTGGTACATTAAAATAAGAAACTGAGCTCTTTGTTTGAAGCACAGTTATTTGATCATAGAGTAAATCAAATGATCAACAGTTACTAAGATCAATATGCTATGGCTGTTTAATTAAAAAAAAAAAACGCTTGCACACTGCATTTTTAATTATAAAAAGTTTTTGTTTACTGATTTCAGAGAGTATGAAAGTGAACGAAAACAAAATTTAGAAAAACTTTACCACAGCTCGTTTCGTTGCCCATTTCTTGTTTCGACGCCTGGTCGCAGTGAAACAGTTAAATTATAACTCGATACTTTTTCAGCATCCAAATGTCTGTTGAGAGACAAAACACCTGTTCTGGGAGATATTTTGAAATGATTTTTTGGATCTCCTGATTCTATGCCAAACAAACCACCAGTC